AAGAATCACAACTATATAAATATGTAATTTAGTCAACTCTACCTTCTCCGCTCTCAATATTGTAACATGCTATATAAAAAAGATCACATATCAATAATGTTTCAAAAAATAGATAACTAATCTTTTAAAATTTAAAGCAGTATCGTATAACACTTAATTATGTCAAAATCCCGCGCGAAGCGCGGGTTTCCCCTAGTATACAATAAAGGTTTAAGTTTTCAGATCATCACGGAAGCTCGGAAGTCAGCGGTTAAACTGCAGACTGACATCAAGAACAGGATTGCAACTACTGCCGCCCTAAGAAGTCCTCCATTGGACACAATCTTTTTAGACAGGAATACGGTTTTGTTCATTGATAGCTTGCCCTTCTTCATGGTTCCTCCATCCGTATCCTCAACCTGCGTGTGTAGCATTCATTTGTTAAGCCACAGAAAAAAAGGAGTAAGTAATTCATGTGAAGGTTTGTTATTATTCTCACCTCTCTCTTGATAGTCTGAATCTCTAGACTTTTCGATTTAATACCATCAAGGCTACTTTGCAGACGCAACCTTTTTGAGGCACTTCCATGGACTATATAGTCAGTGGCGCAACCTGAGGGTTGTTCCCGTCGAGCCTGTAACTTGATGAATCCTGTTGTTGAAACATCATTGCTCATTTCACCTGCAGAGCGCTCTTCATACGCTGACTCAATCTGCAATTAAGTATATAAATATATTAATAAAAGTTAGTTATAAATGACTACACAAAATGATGTTACGAGTTCAGAGGGAACTCTGACGAACCTTATGTGGCGCTGACCCGTCCTGCTCTGGAACTGCGTCTTCTGGGAGATCAAGAACCGAGTCTATAAAGTCGGATATATATGTATCCACTTCGTTTGTACCGTACTGAGTCTGAATCTGGGAGCTGTTTCCTGGAAAGTCACTCGAGTCATACTGAAATGCGTTGAAAGATGATCCGAGCTCGGACTGGAGTTGAGAGTGTACTGGGGACAACATCGTGTAGTTCAGAGGCTCCAGGTCCGGAAAAGACAGCCAATCAATATCTCCAAGCTGTGATTAAAAAACTAGTTTAGTTTGCAAAATGACAACAATTATTTCAGAAAAAAACTCTGCAATGTTCTCACCTTGGCGGTTGTAGCCTCATCACCGCAAGCACCAATATGACCAGAGATTGCAAGAGAAGATTCCGCAATGTCATAACGCTTCACGTCTTCTGTTTTAACGACAACTGATACTTCAGATTTAGTCTCATCTGGGGAAGATGCTGCAACAGTTGGAGACGACACATCCTGTGCTGCAGCTTCATCCGTTGAACTCAGGTCTTGTTTCTTGAACAATTTGCATATAACAAACGGACTCTGCATGTATCATAAAAAAACAAGCACATTACGTAAATGAATGTGGTTGTTAATGGTTTTACAACGCTACATGTGTTGCATTTTATTTATACCTGGCCAGGATTGGTGCCACTGAGGTCATCCTCGGTGGCACGATACTCGTGCATAATCCAATTGGTTCGTGTCCCCTTAGGAGCACGACCAGAGTGGAAAACCAGAGTTCTCTTCACACCGATAATATTGTCCTTTCCGGATTTGATCTTCCGGTCTTTTCCTGTGGCTTTCCAGTAGCCAGCGATTGTTGCACGATTCTGTCTACTTCCATTGGGGTACTTCCGATCCAAAGGACAGAAAAATAGCCACTCGGAGTCGTTCGTTTTGATCACAGAGAAACCTACAACACAAGCTAATACATGTGAGTGAAACTCAATAATCAATTACCTAAAAGCTAACATATTCCTAAAATAATAATAATATTATAAATTTCAAGAAGAACATAAAATGTGATTAACCTACCAGGTAAATCCCAAGGTTCCCATTTGCAGATGTCGATCTCTTGGATGGCTTTGACGTCTTCATCGTGGCCGTTGATTTTCCTGCGGAGATAGAAACGGACTAGCTCCTCGTCTGTTGGACGGAATCTCAACCCCACTGGTAACGAATCTAACGTTAATACTTTAATATTCTGATTCATAGATGCGACTTTTTAAACGAATCGGGAGAAGATGAAACCCCAATACTGAATATATTCTCAGATATAGGTAGGATAGGGAATTTTTTTTTTGTCAGAGATGCGATTCGAAGGTATCAAGATGATGAAGAAGACAACAAAATTTTCACAGTTGCGTAAGAAAACCTAATACGATTTGGTAAAGTGAAGAAGAAGAAGAAAATGGTGAAGTTTGATATCATTGTGGGACCTGTCTAAAGAATTATAGAGGTGATGAGACTTGCGCGTGAGTCAGTTGCTATATACACGCGCTAGTTACGCGGTTTGGGAAATTACTAAAGTACGATTTTATCCTTGACGATCGGTTACAAAGAGCTGAGTAATACTGAAAACGCGTAAGGGTAAAGTAGGGAAGTTGATGAAATGTAAAGTCAATTGATAAGTGTTATGTCAGGTTACAAATGAGATAATAACACGTGGATGCGTGGTAAGGAAGTTTCGGTGTCGGCTCATTTGTTGAGTTTCTCGGATGGTTCCATGACTTGGGAAAATTGTTTGTGTTTTTATTCGATTCTCGGACAATAAAAGAACAAAAATGTTATTCTCTTCTTAGACGTGGCATCACACATTTCTAGTGGATTGCAATAATGATATGAATAAGACGACCATGACTCAGTCATATGACTCGAAGTCTCCTTCTTCTTATTCTTTCTCAATTGGCAATTTATGTCATGCCTTAGTTTACTTTTGGTTATAACCAGTTACATTACGTGACGTTTGTCTAGAAATGGTTTTACCGAACGAAAACGATAAGATTCCCTTGATTCCGGAGATGTACACTGTATTAGATACAAAAGTGTTCCACGTCGATTGTTGGAAGAGATTCTAAGCAATATATAAGATGGATAAGTCACTACATTTATCATCAATTAGTTTTAAGTTGAAAGTCCATCTAGTTTACATGGTATCACAACCTTCAATCCACGAAATCCAACCCGTTCCTCATCAATCTGGTCCAAAGATGGCCATCGATCCATTCTGAGATTGACGCCAAAGAGCCATCATCTCGAGTGGACGTATTAGACACAAAATGTCTCACATCGGTTGTTTGAAGGGATTCTAAGCAATATATAAGATGAATGAACCACTTTACTTATCACCTATTGATTTTGGGTTGGAAGCCCATCTAGCTTACACACTGATCCTTACCGTACTTCTCGTCTTTCTTATGCCAACCGAAAATCATTCCCGACTACCAATTCAGCAGTTTATGCCATTTTGGATTCCGACAAGGAATGGTAAAGATTCAATGAAACAAATTACTTACCAATGGAACTAGCTCAATTTTAATGTATACAAAACCTTGTTTCTTTGAATTTATCTCTTAGAGGGAAAAACATAAATTGTTCACAGTCATCACTAAGCGCCTTTATCTCGGAGGCAAACAAGACAAAACCTAAATTAAGACCATGATTAACCCGGATTTTTAGGGTGGGATTCTTAACAGAAATGAAGAAATGATTTCTTAACTTATACCTAAAAAACCTAATATCGGTTCTTAAAGTCCTTATTTAAGAACCGATTCTTATCTTTTTAGTTAAAAGTTAAGAAACAATTTCTTAACTTTCATGTAAAACGAGTGATACCAATAGCATCCCTTGTAGTAATAAGATTTTTGACACATGTATCAAGAAGGACAAACGAAAATATTCCACCTAACATGTCGTTATATTCATGGTCATGTTCTTCATACGGCAACAATAGAGACACTCGTATTACATTTTCCCTAGCCGCCAAAACTGATGATTTATACAATAATATCCACAAAAGCAAACTTTTTCTCGTTGTTTATGTGAACATTAACAACATCACATCCTCGACCAGCAATGTTCGACCAAAAAAAGCAATAACTTAACTAAAAATAGAGATGTATTGAGAGCATCCCAATCACACTCCATAATTTACTGCAAACTGGAGTAGGAAATGGAGTGATGAACAAACAAAAAAATGATTACTCCTTAAATGTAGTAATGGGTTTTTTGTTTATTCATCACTCCATTTCCCACTCTATTTTGCAGTAAATTATGGAGTGGGGTTGGAGATGCTCTGATACTTGTTCTTAACACAGAGAAACCTACAACACAAACTCATAATCACATTTCGGAAAACTAAACTAAAGTGGCAATATGATGTAGAGTGAATGTCAATAATCGAACACCCAAAAGCTGTAACTCCATAACATATTCCTAAAATAGGAAAAGATTATATTTCAACCAAAAAAAGAAAAGATTGTATATTTCAAGAAACACATATAATGTGATTACAGTCCAAACATTACCAACTTTATCATCTTGAATAAATCCAAAGAAGAGGATATGTACCAGGTAAATCCCTAGGTTCCCATTTGCAGATATCGATCTCTCGGATAGCTTTGACGTTGTAGTCGTGGCCGTTGATTTTACTGCGGAGATAGAAACGGACTAACTCCTCGTCTGTTGGACGGAATCTCAATCCCACTGGTAAGGAATCTAACGTTAATGCATTAATATTCTGATTCATAGATGCGAGTTTTTAACGAATCGGGAGAAGATGAAACCCAATACTGAAATATTCCCCGATACGGGTTGGATAAGAAAGTTTTTTTTTCTTTTTAACTCGAGATGTGATTCGAAGGTATCAAGAAGAATAACAAGAAGACAATAAAAATTCACAGTTGCGTAAGAAAGCCTAAAGATTGGATACGATTTGGTAAAGTGAAGAAGAAGAAGATGGTGAAGTTTAATTTTTTTCTTTATCATTGTGGTATGAAGAATTATAGAGGATGAGGAGACTTGCGCGTGAGTCAATTGCTATATACATTCGCTGATTTACGCGGTTTGGGAAATTACTGAAAGTACTATTTTATCATTGACAAACGTTTACAGAGAGACTTATTGACTGGGTTCGTTTACAGGTCAAAACAACCTAAGAACATGTTTATTGGGTTGATTAAGTTAGTTTCTTAGGTAACTAGTAATTAAAAAAGCTAATTACTTAAGCAACTGATCTTAATTAAGGTTTGGAAGAAGCGCTCTTGTTAGACACGAAGAGCTATTGGATTTGTGATTTTGAGAGGATAAAAAATGCAACTACTACTCCTCGACGAAGACGATCGGTGGTCGCCTCTCTTCCGTTTTCTCCTTCTCATCTAGTAAGATCTCATTTATGCTTTGTTTGTCATAAAGCTCTGATCTTTTGCCTCTCCTCCATCTGGGTTTCTCCACACTTAAACATCTCTTATGATCGCGACACATGGCGATTATATATTTAAGATTATGACATGTGTTAAGTAACAAATTTTCTTTTATAAACTTAAACCAAAAAGAATTTAATAGTTAGTTTTACTTTTTTAAAAAATCTTAAACATAAACTTTAAAAATGTTAGTTTCCCTTTTCAAACAATCTTAAACAAAAGCTGTAAAAATTATATTTCCATATAAATAATATTTAATAAATATCTTATTATATAAAACTTGGTTTTTCAAAGTTACTAATTAACATGATCGCGACACATGGCGATTATATATTTAAGATTATGACATGTGTTAAGTAACAAATTTTCTTTTATAAACTTAAACCAAAAAGAATTTAATAGTTAGTTTTACTTTTTTTAAAAATCTTAAACATAAACTTTAAAAATGTTAGTTTCCCTTTTCAAACAATCTTAAACAAAAGCTGTAAAAATTATATTTCCATATAAATAATATTTAATAAATATTATTTATAAAGTTACTAATTAAGATGATTATGAAACATGGAAATTATATATTTAAGATTATGACATGTGTTAAACAACAGGTTTTATCTAAAAAAAAATTAAACCAAAAGAATATAAAAACAAATCTAAAAAATTTAAATTTCCTTTTTTAAATTCTTATACAAAAAAGCTTTTTATTATCTCCATATAAATAAAAATTGAACAAGGGTGTTTCTTTTTTTAAACATGGGTTTAAGGTAATTACAAGTTTGGTTTTTCAAAGTTGCTAATTAATATGACTGCGATACATGGAAATTATATATACAAGATTATGATATGTGTTAAATAACAGTTTTTTCTTTAAAAAAAAACTAAAACCAACATAATATAAAAATAATCTAAAAAGATAATTTTCCTTTTTTAAAAATTCTTAAACAAAGAAGAATTTTTAATATTTCCATATAAATAAATTTTAACAATAGCACTTCTTTAAAAAAAAATGGTCTAAGATAATTAACACTAAACATTATTTTAAGATAAATTTATATAAAAATTAAAATATTTACAAAATATTTTTAATATTTTTTTAAAGTTACTAATTAAGAGGATTATGAAACATGGAAATTTATATTTAAGATTATGACATATGTTAAACAACAGGTTTTTATTTTTTAAACTTAAACCAAATATTAAAAAAAAATTAAAAATCTAACTTTTTTAAAACAATTCTTATACAAAGAATATTTTTTATTATTTCCATATAAATAAAAATTTAACAATGGTATTTTTTTAAAACATAGGTTTAAGATAATTACAAGCTTGGTTTTTCAAAATTTCTAATTGATATGACTGCGATACATGACAATTATATATTTAAGATTATGATATGTGTTAAATTCCTTTTTTTAAAAAACTTAAACCAAAATAATATAGAAATAATCTAAAAAGATAATTTTCATTTTCAAAAATTTCTTAAACAAAGAATGCTTTTTAATATTTCCATATAAATAAAATTTTAACAATAGCACTTCTTTCTTAAAACATGGTGTAAGATAGTTAACACTAAACATTATTTTAAGATAAATTTATATACAAATTAAAATATTTAAAAAATATTTTTCTTATAAATATTTAATAATATTTTTCCTGTTAAAAAATTAAACCAAAGAGAATTGTAATGTTTTAGATGAATATAACCAAACGTGAAAACATATGAAGAAGGTAGAAGTGTTGGATATAGAAAATTCTATTTAGTTAATATTTTTATATAAATACAATTTTAACAATAGTATTTCTTTTTTAAAATATGGGTTTAAGGTAATTATAAAATTAGTTTTAAAAAGTTGATTATTAGCATGATCCTGACACATTACAATTATATATTTAAGATCATGTCTATTAAAAAAAAATTTCATTAAAAAAAAAACATAAACCAAAAGAATATAGTAACAATATTTTCCCTTATAAATTATTATTGTCCCTTATAAAAATATTATTGATAGGTAATGAAACTATAGAAACATATATAATCTAGATTGGCTGTTATAATTTTGAAAAATTCATACTGATATAAATTATAATATATTGTTATAATGTTTTATTGGTTTTTCAGAAAATCTATATAACTTTTAAATCACAGTATAATTTAGTCCTTCAAATTTATGTTTGATTTTTCAGTGCGATTATTGACTAAATAAAATTACTGTAGATTTTTTTATAGATATGAATATTTTCTTTTTATTTTATAAAAATTTAGATAATAAGATAGTTATTTAGACAATAAGGATTCAAAAACATGGTCTTTACAACATACATGTTTGTGGCCACAAGAATTAAAGTAGTATTAAAATGCATAATGTATTAATAATTTCATTACTTATAGATTACATGATAAAAATGTTGATCCAATGTTTTCCATTAGTTAAACAAATAAGATAATTTACAGTTCACCTATAGATTCATTAGTATATTTTCTTTTGAAATAGTGAAATTGTATTATAAAGGTAGATTTGCTTAACTGTATGATTTTGTAATAGATTTTTCTAATTTTATAAAAATATAGAGTAAAGCTATTTTGTCTCTAAATATAGAGATGTAAATTTATTCACTACATTTTCTTTTACGGTAGATAAACTCTATAAAGTGCATATATTGTCACCGATTGAATTGCTTTGATTCAACTTTCTAATTTATTGTATTTTACACTAATTCATATTTTTCCAAGGTTAGATTCAATTTAAATTTTTGGGTTTGGATTTTTTCTCTACCCCTAAATTCAAAATTGCTAATAACTGTTTATTCACTATGATTACTGAAACATAGCCGACAAAAAAATATTACCGAAACATAAATACTAACCAAAACTTATGTGGGAAAACAATTTTTATTCCTAAAATAAGTTTAGCAATATATACAAAAGTCCAATGATATTTTAAATTTTTTTCTTCTCATTTTTCTGTTTTTCATGAAATTAAAACATCAATTGAAACTCGTGCAAAGCACGGGTCCATATCTAGTTCTTTATAAAGCTTTGATTTTTGGCTTCTCCTCCGTCTAGGCTTCTTTACAATAACGTGATTTAGGGTTGAGTTTTTAACTTCTATTGCAAAAAGGGAACCTTACATTGCTGTGTGCTTGATAATGTTTTGGAAAATGTCATGTTTCCTGTTTAATTGACCCTTTGTTTATTTTTGTATGTTAGGTGAAGAAAACGATCCTTGGATTGGGAGTTTTGGCGATGAGTGTATGCAGGACACTGTACCTTTTGAGGATGATGCTTGGATCAACGATGAGTATACACAGGCCCGGCCCTTGGCATGTGTCCAAGGTGAAATTGCACAGAGCCCATTTTATTTGAGAATTTTTACTTATAGATTAAAGGCCATTTTCAAAAAATATTAGAATCCTTTTTTGACAAATTTTTTCAAGTTATTTGTATTAAAAAATGTTTTTGAACAGGGCCCAGTACAATCTTGAGCCGGGCCTAAGTATACAGAGACTCACGTCATGGACAATGAATGTGATGACAAAGAGTTTCGTCTTTGTTTTGAAACTGAAGCTGTGGATTTGGGGTTTGGAACTCAAGAGGAATCACTTGTGGAGGAGGAGCTGTTAATTCAAGGTTCTGATGGCATAGATACGCAGGTTCTGGATCGTTTTGATGAAGACGTTGTTGCGGATAGTGATGACTGATGATGAGGATGTTACTGTTTTGTTAGAGGATAACAGCGAGAGGGAGATCTCTGACTGTGGTGACTCGCATAGTAAAGGAGGGAATCTGTTATTGAGTGATGATAAGAATATAGAGCATGCTAATGAAAACACTAAATCAACTGTTGCCGTTGATGCTGAATATGGAATCTCTGGTGAGTTTCTAACTCAAAGTTGCAGAGTTTGTTTTCTTAGCTTGAAACTCCATTGCTGGTAGTCATATTTTCTTGATATATTTTGATGCTTGCAGAATATTTTAGTCAATACGTGACATCTTTCATGCTTTCCAAGTAGAAACTTTAGTCTATAGGTTCTCGTGAACTCATTTAAAGAGGTAAATCTCCCTCTCTCATTTGCATTGTTATTTCAAACATTGTTTTGTTGGCTTTTGTATGATACTTTTGTTTCAAACGTTTTTTTGTTGGCTACATGTTTTATTTACCATGGATAGGGTATTTGTGAGTGTGCAGTTAAGTAGTGTACTGACTTAGTTTTGTGGAATTAATTGTTAAAGGCTGTGTTCAAGCAATTTGGAGGAGGAGGATATGGCTCTGGTTTATCTGATGATACAGAACTCCATCAGCATCAGAAACTAGAGAAGCTTTACATATCC